TTACCCTGGAACCTCAAGACTAGATAAATTATTCCATGCGTAGGTTTACAGAAGAACCGAATCTAAGAAATCGACCGGAATCAATCTTTAGATAGTTTATTCACCTCAACTTCACTTATGTAAATAAGTGAAAGAAATTGAGGGTAAAAACCAGGCAATCCTGTTCGACATTAGATAAGCACACACCAATATACCTCCCAAAAGACAGAATTTTTTCCCTTTAGTCAGTACTCTGGGATTTTTATGAAATACTTCAGCTTTTCTGAAGTATTTACACTCAGTCAAGGAAAGTTCATATCTTCACCCTTTGAACGCAGGATGTGATAAATCTTGGGGGGGTCATCTCCCCAAGTGCTGTTCAGAAAGCCACCGGGTGGGCCATGAGAGGAATGCCTGACTTTTGCCAGATGGTAAAAGGGAGAGGAGACTGTCCTTGGTCTTATTTTGATTTCTCTGGTATGTGTGGGGCATTCCGCCAGAATCTTATCTTTTTTACTATACTGTTTTTAGTTTCATGAAAAGTGATTTAATTTTGTTCTACAGTGAACCCTAACTGATGGTTTTACTTTTGAGGGTGGAGAGGGTTAGTTTTTGTTGTTCCCTGGATAGGGCTTTGTCCCTGGCCCCTGCCAGGGCACATATGTGTTGGCTGAGTAGAGGGCGTGCAGCTGTCTGAAGTGCAGGCGCGATGTTGCCTGAAGGGAGGCAACGGCATGGTATTCTTCAGCCCAGTTCCTTCCTGGGATGTTATAGAGGCTGGTCTTTTTGCATATGGCCCCCAACCCCATATATAAAATGTGGGATGTGCCTTATCAACATCGCAGTGCCTCTCCTCCCCTCCCGAAGCCCCTCGTTAATGGTGGATTCAGTGTGGAGAGTTGCCCCTCACCCGTGAAAAGGCCGCGGTGCAGCCGTCACCACAGTCAATTCTGGAACTTTTTTTTTTTTTTAGATGTTTTTGCTATAGGGTGTGTGTGCTCACTGGAAAGAGAGACAGAGAGGCAGAAAGCAAGAAATCACCCCCAGGGGGGATGGCCACGCCTCAATCCCTTCTCCTCCATTCTCCTCTCAGGATCTTGGGCACGCACGCACACGCATCTGACGTGAGTTTAAGCCACCAAGTCTGGGACTCGAACAGCAGTTGACTACATGGGAGTCCAGCGACATAGCCACATAGCCATTACGCTAATGCTGGTCCCAATTTTGGAACGTTTTCATCACCCCAAAAGACTCTTCCTACTTATTCCTTAACTATCAATCTCCACTTCCCACCCCACTCACATTTCTACGTAACTACCTGTGTACTCTATGTCTCTGTGGATTGGCCTTTTCTAGTTCACATGTATGGATTCTGGCAATGGCGTCCTTTGTGCCTGTTTTCTTCTGCTTAGCATAATGCTTTCAGTGTTTCTCCATGTTGTAGCCTGAGCTCTGGTAGTCCTTCCTCTCTATGGCTGAATAATACTCCATTGTGTGGGTACGTTTCTTTCCTTCTCTTCTCTTCTCTCTTCTCTTCTCTTTTCTTCTCTCTTTCTTTCTTTTTTAAGAGAAATTTTTACTATGGGGTGCATTTGCTCACTGGAGAGACAAGACAGAGACAGAGAGAGAGACAGACAGACAAAGCGAGAAATCACTCCCCAGGGGGTACGGCCATGCCGTAATCCCTTTTCTGCCATTCTCTTGGGATTTTGGGAATGCACTCACATATGCCTGTAAGTTTCAAACCTCTGGGTCCAGGACTCAAGCTGCAGTCAGCCATGTGGGAATCCAGTGACATAACCGCTCCGCCATCTGCTGGTCCCAAGGGATCTGTTACTTTTGCTTATTCATTTGTCGATGGACATTTGGGTTGCTTCTGCATTTAGGCTATTCTGAGTAACAGTGCTGTGAACATTTGCATACAAACTGAGAATTTTATGTTTTCATTGTGTGTCACTTCAGACTGAGCCATGAATGGGCACACCATTTTGGCTCCTTTTAGAAGCCAAAGATACAACATCTCTCTAATGGCAGTAGAAAGCCATGGAGCCCACGTCACTCAGCAGAACACCCTGAAGAATAAATAAAAGAAAACACATACTAATGGGGTCAATTTTAGAGAAAATAAGCTTAAAATAATTTTTTCTGTACTTTTGATGAATCATCTCTCTGTACTTTTAATTATTGCCGTGCATATTTACCATTTCAACAATAATGGTGTGATTGGCTGAAAAATGGGAAAATTTGAACATATGTGAATTCAGCCTAATTCTTCTCATCTAGGGTGTTTCCTCCACACAAGGCTTTGTGTTGGGTGATGGGTTTGTAGTGACAAATAGGCAGGGTCTGTGCCCTCAGGTGCGTATGTCCAGTCTTGCCGGCAGTGGGTAGTGGCCATGGGGCATGTGTGAGGACAGGGGAGACATGCAGCTTGTGCGAGAGCACCTCTGCCAGGAGACAGATGGCACTAATGGAGCTTCGGTAGAAAACTTGACCAGACTTTGGGTGGGATGGTAGGGAAGCAGCGTAGAGGCAGCTTCCTGAAGGAAGTTCATGACCACACTGGGATAGAAAGAAGGAACTGAAATAAATAAGCAAGAGGAGAAGAAAGGGCGGAAGAGAAGGAAAAGAAAGAGTTCTGAAGTAGAAAGCTGAGCGTGGTGGCTGCATCACCTGTTCCAGAATTTGAAAGCGAGGTTCTAGGTGTGATGTGATGAGAACCGAGAAAGAGAAGGGCAGGGACCTGGGGCCCTTGACTGCAGCAGCAGGTACTTTGGACCCTACCCTAAGCCAGGACGTCTTTGAAGGAAGGTGCATGAGCACTTCTGCGTTTTGGCCACTCAGAAGGGACCCAGGGTCAAGAATAAAGTCCTGTTCTCTGAGCAGTGGGAGGACTGTCTGTGGAGGACAGTGGGGGGATTTGAGGTCATGGTTGAGGGGGTGCTCAGGAAGTGCCACTGTTGTAAAAGATGGAAATTTGAGGAGCTGGCAGGTAGCGTGGTGGTTAAGGAGCTGGATTCTCATGTGGCCTACTGAGGTTCAGGATCTGGACCTGGTGGCTTGAAAATCACAACAAACAAACAAATGTTTTAAAAAAATAAAGTACGAGTTTGTTTTGGAAAAAGACGAGAATCTGGTGCTGCGCCGCGAGATGTTATGGAGAGCGCCTGGCGTGACTGCCCTGCAGTGTGTCCCTTGCCTTGAACCGAACTTCTCTTTGCCTTAATAGAGCTGAAAATGCCAATAATAATAAAGAACGAAAACTGTCGAAACAAACCAGATGATGGGGCACCAGCCGGCCTTCTTCATCATTACAGTCAAGGATTGGCAGTTGCTCTTGTAGATGCCACATACTCATTATTTATTAACTTTTAAATTGAAAATCTGGAAGAGGAGCTAATTATTTCAGGGAATCAAGAAGTTGGGCTTGAAGCCGGCAGGTCACATGGTGGTTAAGGCACTGGACTCCCACATGGCCAACCGTAGTTCAAGTCCCAGACCTGGTGGCTTGCTTTCTCACTTTTTATCTCTCTGTCTGGTGAACACACATGTCCTATAGCAAACATTAAATAATAGTAATAAATAAAATTAAATCTTAAAAAAAAAAAGACTTTGGACTTGGCAGGTAGGGAGATTTACCCAAGCTGTTATTTTGCAGCCATTAGGAGGCCACAGTACTTCAGATCCTGGAGTCAGAGGAGAAGTAAACGTGGGGTAGGGGCAGGGTAGTGCGGGGCAGGGGCAGGGCAGTGTGGGGCAGCCTACCTTGTGGAGCTGCTGTGGGGACCTAAGGAGAGGTGTGCCACAAGCTTTGCTCAATGAGGAGCTGAGGCCAGAGGGGTAGGTGGTCCAGGGTCAGAGTGCTGGAGATGGGGGGTATAAAGCAGGTCTGCCCGTCTCTGAATCAGTGGTCTTCCTGCCCCAGCTAGGAGCCAGAGGAGTAGATGCCAAGGACTTGGACAGTGGGGACCTCTCATGACTGTCTGAGGCACAAGGTGTGCACACACACGAGGGTGTGGCCAGGGAGGTGGTGTGTATGCACACGGGGTGGGGAGAGCAAGCGGTGTGTGCTCACATGGGGTGACCAGGGGAAGTGGTGTGTGTACACATGGGGTGGGCAGGGGAGGCAGTATGTATACACATGGGGTGGGCAGGGGAGGCGGTGTGTGCGCACTAGGTGAACAGAAAGCAGTGTGTACGCACGTGGGGTGGGCAGGGGAGGTGGTGTGTACACACATGAGGTGGTGGGAGTGGGCATGGGAGGCGGTGTGTGCACACGTGGGTTGGGCAGGGGAGGCGGTGTGTGCATGCAGGGTGGGCAGGAGAGGCCGCAGGATGGGCAGGGGAGGCTGTGTGTACGCATACGAGGTGGGCAGGGGAGGCGATGTGTATGCATGCGGGATGGGCAGGGGAGGCTGTGTGTACACACACGAGGTGGGCGGGGAGGCGATGTGTATGTATGTGGGGTGGGCAGGGGAGGCCATGTGTATGCACACGAGGTGGGCAGGGGAGGCCATGTGTACGCACACGAGGTGGGCAGGGGAGGCCATGTGTATGTACATGGGGTGGGCAGGGGAAGCGTCCTAGCGTTGACCACTAGCTCATGTCCATTAGACTCCCCCTGGATAAGGAGCCCTCCTCAGGGCGAGGGCAGAGCTCATCTCCTGTCTGTATGTAAATCTGCTGCTGCAGCTGAGAATCGCCATGTAGTGATTTGGGGCAACTTGGATGCATTTACTGTTATGGCAAGGCCAGACTTGAAGTCTGGTAGGTACTTTGAGAGGCCCTTTTGTCCTGCCTTCAGCCAGGCTTCCTTCCCAATAGGACTGGGTCTTGGAAAAGTACCCCATGCAGAGGGATAACCATGCTCTTAAGATCTCTAGGCACCTGCGGTTGTCAGAGCAACACAGATCAATATGGTCTCTTTTGTAGAGAACAGAGCATGCTCAGTGGCCGAGCACACAACTCCAGTTTCAGTTTTTTGGAGCAAAGACTCCAAAAAGACTGCATTCTCTGTCCAGGTATGTACTCTTCAGGTGCAGCAACCCAGGAGGCCGAGAGCAGCCAGAAGCTGACCCACTTACTGAATGCGGTGACGGACGCTCTGGTCTGGGTGATCGCCAAGAGTGGCACCTCCTCCCAGCAGCAGTCCGTCCGCCTGGCCAACCTCCTGATGCTCCTCTCTCACGTCAGGCACGCCAGGTATGCCAGGTACAGACCAGCAGGATCAGCCCCACCAGGGCATGGGGTCACACAGTCAGTTGAGGTGAAGTGCATTGTGAAATGTTTGCAAGTTTAAAGTGGGGAAGGTAGACCTGTCACCTCTAAAGGAAAAGGAACGCCTGAAAGGGAACCCTAAGAGGGCTTGCTTCATTTTCACCCTGTGACCACAGAAGGTATTAGTTTGTTACTGAGCTGCTAAACAGAAATACCTAGGGCTGGGCAAGGCTGGAATGGAGGCTTATTTGGCTCATGAGCCTGGTGGTGAGACAGTCTGAGCATGCGGACGGCATGTAGTTGGCTTCTGGTGCTAAGTCACAACATGGCAAAGAGAAGCAGGCCTGTCCACAGACAAGCAGAAAGGGAAATAGAGAAAGAGAAAAGGAGAGGAAGAGAGGGACAGACAGACTTTTTCACTTCCTCTGTTTGTCACTCCCACACTCCCAGCTGATGGGATGGTGCCTGCCCACCTCGAAGGCAGGTCTTCCTCTCAGCCCACTGACCCACATGCCAGTCTTGCCTGGAAAGGTGCCTGCCCATATTGAAGGTGGGTCTTTCTCTTAAAGGTCTCACCACCTCCCATTGCCATTACATTAGGGACCAAATTCTAACACAAGAACTCCGTGGAGGACAAATCGCTATCCAGACCATAGCAGTGGGCTCATGAATGTTTTGTGGCACCTTCCAGGCACTTCATGGCATCTGAGGGTGACTTATCTGTTTTGTGCTTGCTGGGACTTAGAGCTTGTTTGTACAGTTTTTTATTTAACTTTATTTATTTTTTAAAATGTGACCAGAGAAGAACAGAGTGACAGTGAGTGAGTGAGAGAGAGAGAAGGAAAGGGAGAAAGAGAGAGGGAAAGCGAGAAAGCAGGCTGCTAGGTCCAAGACTTGAACCCTGACAGCCATGTGGGAGTCCAGCACCCTTAACCACTATGCCACCTGCTGGCCCCTTGTTTATGCAGTTCTAAAGAGGAAGTTTCTCCACCACTGCCCTACCTCCCCACTCCACCCAGAGCTGAGGCCCTTGAGGTCACCTTGGTGAAGAGGCTCCCATAGATCACCCCTTGAACTGATCCGAGGAGATGCACAAAGCCTTCTTTAAGAGTTGTTCTTTACTTCCAGTGGTACCAGGGTATTCAGGGGAACTGACGAGCCCAACAGGAGTAGGGGGCAGGGACGCAGAGTGTGCTCCAGGTCAGGGGATGTAAATCACCTGTGCTGATAAAGGGGGTGTATGGCAGCAGCTGCTCTAGCACAGTGGTGCTCGTGCGTGGAGTCACCAGGACAAGAGTGGTCCTGCCCTGGAGCTGGGGCGGGGAGATGAGGATGGAAGGCAATTGCTCACCACGACATACACCACAAGGGTCTTAACAAGGGAGGCCTAAGTTATTCAGCATGCAACCATTGTAGAACAGATCCAGTCAACCCTAGTATTTGCAGGTTTCATATTTGTGAGTCACCTACTTACTAAGACCAATACTTGTGGTGCTCTTGAAGTCACGCACAGAGTACAGAACTTTGGAGTGGCCCTACATGCATGTACCGGACTGAGGTGGACCAAGATACTCTGCCTTCTTTTAGCTCTCATGCTGTGAACAAGCGTCCTCTCCACATCCAGCTATTCATAATTTCACATTTTCATACTTTTCATTGGTGATTTCACTGTTTAAAGTTGTCCCCTACACAGCACTGACATGCTACCTGGAGTCCTTAAGCATGGGAAAGCCATGATGTGCCACAGGGAGAAAATTCCTGTTAGATACACGCCATCCAGACATGAGTTAGGGGGCTGCTGGTCATGGGCTCAGTGTCAGCGAGTCCACACCATCTACTGCGTGAACCTGCACATAAAGCAGGGTTACATGTTGACCAGCTACTGAACAGGCTGTGACCAGAGGCTTGCAGAAACCGCACTTGTATTTCCCCTAGGAGTGGTGATTCATTATTTGCTAATTCAGTGTCTGCAGTGCCTTTATAGAACAAAACTGCCAGGAATCATGAGACTCGTACTATGGCCAGGCACTGCCAGGCCACTGTGGGTGTGTGGTGGGACACAGATTTCAACAGGACATTGTCCTTGCCCTTAGATGATGAAGTGCAAAAACGTGGTCCCAGTGTACGACCTGCTGCTGGAGATGCTGAATGCCCACACGCTCCACGGGTGCAAGTCTTCCACCTCGGGGTCTGCGGGCAGCCCGGCAGAGGACAGCAAGAGTAAAGAGGGCTCCCAGAGCCTGCAGTCGCAGTGAGGCCCAGTCCTGACAACAGGCCCACAGAGGTGGAGGGCTGAAGGACGGACTCCAGTGTGCGGCATGGGCCCTGCCGGGCATTGGTGGTTCATCATTGTTCTGTGCGGCTCCCCTGCTTGGTTATGGCAGGCCCAGCAGGTGCCATCCTTTCCCCCTCTCCACACCTGGGAGTCTGGGAGAGAAAGCCAGTTTTCCTTGTTACCAGGGGGCAGATATGAACGCAGTTTGTCTGTCATGCATGGTCCATAGGATCCCTATGCGGTCCCTTGGTGTTTGGTCATGCTTCCCCCACTTCAGAAAACATCCTGAAGGTTTTGGAATGAATGGTGGAATTCTGACGTAGGGCCGTAATTCAGCATGGGGAGGGATGGTGACCTACCTAGAGGTTGTTACCTTAGAATTGACTGTGTGCTTTTCTGACCACCTGAGTGTAGGATTGACAATCAACTAACCATGATGACAATCCATGAGCTAGTTTTACATTCCTACCTCACAGACCTGTGAGGACTGACGTGCCGACTGCATTGTGTCCATGGCTGTGGCTAACCCGTGAGCTGTGTTCTTCCCCCTGCCCTTGCTGCTATCTTCATGCAGATTTACCCCTCTCGATCTGCATCTGTAAAGACTGCACATTATTTGGAGTGACCATGTGTGCGTTCATGATCCCTTTCATAGAAGATCATGGGGGATTTTAGTCTCTCTGGTCCTGGAGTTGCCCTTCCTGAAAGCTCTGTTGTCCCAAGAGGGTCCAGGGCACAGTGGAGAAGGGCTGTGTTTGCAGGAACGGAGTTCTCGTCCATGGGTGGGAGCTACAGCTACAAAGCTTCCCTGGGCAACCGTGACCACTGCATCAGCCTACCAAAGGAGACAGGGACCCTTCGGGTTGAGGATGTGTATAGCTCGCTGCCCTGTGGGATAAAGAGCTACAGACGCCAGCGTGTCAGCCAGGGGGCCAGATCATGGACGTGCTCAAGAGCACAGCACGTCAACGACACCTGGTTTGGGAGCTCTCCTTACAAAAGAGAAATACGTAGGGGGAATTATTAATAGCCAGAAAGAACTCTTTTGCACCTTATGATTCCTTTAAAATATTTTCTTATCAGAACATTTATTTCATGGGCTAGATGGAACAGAAAATTAGTAAAATATTAGCTCTTACTCCAAGTGGAACATAAATAGGAAAGTAGCTCTAAAGTGGCCATTTCCACTTGCTATTTTTAATCCTTTTTATTTCTTATTTTTTAAATTAATTTACATTTATTTACTGAGCATTGTCACAGCATACAAAATGTAATTTCCCATCCAGAAGAGGCTGCATAGTAGCTTAACCATACATGTTAACTTGCTTTTTAAAAATTGAAATATTCAGACAAATTTTCAGGAACAGAGAACGTGTAAAATGAGTAACAGCTACACTTTAAGCAGTTAAATAGTCATGTTTTATTTTTATGGTGATATTTTTAAAAATTACCTTGGGATAGAATATTAAATACATTTTCTTTTTAAAAGTAGGACTACTTTGGCTAGTACATTCTGTATTTACGAAGTCATTAGGAAGATTATATTCAGGGTTACAGAGGTTGGTTCCTGCCAGCGAGACCTTGAATAACTCTTCCTTTTTATATTGGTGCAGTTTTACTAAAAGTCAAGCTTAGCTGTTCCAGAAACTCTTGAACATTTTACCTAGAGAACACGATGAGACCGAAGTGGTCTGAAATTATTCTTAGTGACTCGGTGTCACAGCCCTACTGAGATTCAGTATGGAAAACATACACTTGACTTCACAGAAACCAGTGTTATCCAGAGGGTCCATTTTCTTTCTTTCTGACCAGCCTAGAAGCCCCCACTAAAAAACAGAGATGGGAGGCCTGAAGTAGGAAGTGGGAGGCAAAGAAAGCTAGATTGAACAGTTACTTGCCAGTGAAATTCTATTAATTGTATTTCAGTAAGAGACCACTAGGGAAGAACGAAAAAGTAAAATAACAGAATGAGGTCCACGCCATTGTCTAATGAGTATGAGGTGGAGTGATTCTTTTTCCTAGGGTGAACTTTGATGCCAAAGACAGACACGAGATTGGACTCAGGTGTCTGGATACCCTTCAGTGTGGAGTCCTGTGCATACCTAGACCGGTGGCCATCAGTTCTTTTCCACAAAGATTTCAGCATGTTTCTCAAGGATGCTTGTTTCACAGCATTTGGACCTTGCCTGCCAGGAGGGTGCAACACTTTTATTTTCTTCTTGGCTCTGGTCTTACTTGGATGTGTTGGAGATACAGGTTAGTCCAACCTGAGAGGCCTCCTTCATACAAGGCTGTCTTGAATTTAAAAAAATTTTCTTTGGCTATAGGACATGGCGAGGGCAGGGGTGAGGTGGGAGAACAAGAGAACAGCTTCCCAGAGGGATGGCCAAGCTTCAGTCCCTTCTCCCCCAGTCTCCTCTTGGGATTTTTGGGCATGGACGCACACATCCCAGGTGTGATTTTTAAGCCATTGGGCCTGGGACTCAAACCACACAGTTGTCTATGTGGGATCCAGCGCCTTAACTCCCATACCACTTGCTGGCCCTAGGACTTGCTTTTTTAAGTATCTGCTTCTTGAGGAGAATCTCAGCGTGAGAGAAAGTTATAGTTGCCTTCTGGCACTTTAGATCCGACCTTTTCAGCTTACATTGGGTCTCCGAGGACCTTTACAGGACAGCAGCAATGACACGGGGGAATACGATGGATGATAATATTCCTGTTCTATCAGAGGTTTGTAAGCTGGAGAGTATTACCATCCCCTCCAATCTGTTACTGCTTTCCCCAAACCCATAGCAGTGGAGCATGTTCCTTGGAAAAATACCCACGTAAAATTTAGGCACTGAAGCCTCCCTACGGAGGTGGGTATACTATCGCCTGAAAACTCATGCCATGTATTCTCGATCTCCAGCTCACTGGAATTCCGGCTCCAGTGGCAGCTCTGATACCTTGCCTTGTCTGTGATATATAATGTTATCACTCTTTGTCGCCAAGGATCTCTTCTTCTTGATTCTGAGGATCCTTTTCACTCGAAGATCAGCCACTGTCATTCATGGAGAGTTCCTCAATGGGAACGGCGAAGATCTGAGATGCTAGGTCAGAGAAGTTGCCATCAACACGTTGTCGCATTTGTTTTTCTGTGCTGGGTGTTTAAATGCCATGACTATTGATCCTGTAACTTTATTACTCAGTGGTCCTGTGTACCTTTGAGGTTGGCTGGCTATGATTTGTAAACTTTAGACCAATGCTTTGCACCATTACACTAACTTGCCGACTACCGTGAGTCTTCTGTTGTGTGGAAGCAGATTAAGACCTGCTTTCTGTTCTTCCAGGTAGTACTTTTTCCTTCCCACATCCCATAATGTCTATGGAACTGTTGCAGAGAGAAGTTTACTGTGACATAAATAAAGTACTTTTCATAATTTTGATTTTAAAAATGTATTTGTTGTGAGTTGACTATAAAAGAGTAATAAGGTTAAGTAGTCTACTTTTTGTTCTGAATTCTATTTCGAGTTTACAGAGCTTTTTGTGAAGCTGAAGAAAACCATGGACAGTCTTCCCAGGGAAAGGTATGTCAACATAAATACTTGGGTACGATTTCAGAATGGCTGAGAACCGGTGATTGAATGTAAGCTTTTGTTTGTTTTTCTCCTATGGGGCAAGTGTGCTTGCTGGAGAGAGGCAGAGAGAGGAGAAAGGAGAGAGAGGAGGGGATGAGGAGGGCGAGGAGAGGGGAGTGAGGGAAAATGAGAAATCACTCCCCATCCAGTGATGCAGGAAATCAGAAGTGCATGGGTGACCAGGCCCAGCACTCGCAGTGAGACATGGGTTCTCGTCCCAAGCTCAGGAAGACTTAGAGTTGCGAACATAGTAGGTACAGCAAAGTGGGGAGTTTACTGAACGAGAGAGAAGAAAAAAATAGAGCTCCCAAGATGGGAGGGGTCACAGAAAACGGGTGGCCAAGGAAGAACTATGGTAAGAGGTTTTTATTTGGGTCAGGAAGGGCTTTGTCCAGACTTGGTCTAGGTGGGGCTCATGCATGCATTTCCCTCCTGGTGGGGAGAGGAACATGCTGGAGGGGGCCCAGTTACTCTAATTCTGAAGTGGGTACCAAGGTCAGGAGACTGTCTAGAAGCTTTGGGCCATGAGTTATTCAAGAACAAGATTTACATGTTGGTGCCGGCAGGTGGCGTGGTTGGGGTGCTGGACTCCCACATGGCTGATCATGGTTCGGACCCAGACCTGGCAGCTTACTCTCTCACTTTCTTTCTCTGGTCAAATAAAAAATAATAACCTAAATAAAAAGAATTCTTAAAAAAAATGCTTTAAAAAAGATTTACATGTCTAGGGTCAAAGGAATATGGTGACTGGGAGAAGAACTGTCTGGAGTCACACAACAGTGGCTCTCCTCTGGGGTGGGGCTGTTTACCTGTGAAGGGGTCCAGCTCCAGTCTCATGGCGGGAGGGATGGCCACACTGCAATCCCTTCTCCTCCTAGGATTTTGGGCACTCACGCCCACATTCCTGGTGTGTTTTCCAAGCTACCAGGTCTGGGATTTGAACTGTGCAGTTAGCCATGTGGAATCCACTTGCATGTAAGCCTTCTTGCACAGGAACCATTTAATCTTCAGTAAGCTAATCTCACATTTGTGATCTAAAACTACAGGCACTGTGTGCATGAGGAAAACACAGTCCCTAGGACGTGACAGTCCTGGCAAGCAGAGCATCCAGTATGGATAGAGATTTTCTATAATTACCCTGAGTCAATTATCATATTATAATATCTTTTAGAGATGGGAGAAAAGTAATTTATTGCTATTGAAGTTATCTTAGTGCTAAGAGACATCTGAAAAATTCCTCTGTAATTGGGGAATTAATGATGCAAAAACTTGTACCCATACACTGAGCTCTGAGCGAAAGGAAGCAGCATAAGTAGGCTTTGAAATGTAAATGACATTTTAATTTGCCCTGGAGTCCCTCCTAGGAACAGAAAAGGCCTCTCAAACACCTACCTCCTTAAGAATGGAAAGAAAGAAATGGAGAGAGAACAGATACTTGGCCTTGTGCTACAAGGCTACACCGCAAAGTTACAACAGAGCAGGCACCCTATTTCCAACCTAGGGGTCTTAAAGAAAAAGTTCGGGTATCAAAGTCACTTAAACTTCCCTCTGGAGTTATGGTAGTCCATAAGAAAAGATGAATTATCTTAAAATACTCTGAAGGTGTATGATAAAAATCACCTTTCTTTCCATAGCGAGTCAGCAGTTTGAAAACTTGAAACACTGACTGTAAAGTGAAGATGGAGTCTCTTCAAAGGGTGCCTTTCTGGGAGCTGTAGCTTGGCTGCACAGGTTTGGTGGTGTCTGGCCCTGAAAGTCTCGCTTCATTTGTCAGTGAGCTTTACTGGCTTCCCCTGAACTTTATGGTTTGCAAAGGAGGGAAGGGGGGACACTGACTCCAAGTTAAGTCTCCCTAGTACTAGAGATGTGGGTTAGGAACCTGTTCAGTGACTTCTGACCAAGGAAGGAGAGATGCTGGCGGGTTTCCTCCTCATTTAGTTGGCAAAGTGACAGAGGCTCTGGGATCGTATGGGAAGCCAGTGGCTTTCCTTGTAACACTTGTTAGATGCCTGGTGACCTGTTAGTTAATCTGCTCCAGAAAAGGCTGGGGATAGAAAAAACTGGGTGAGAAGATCCCTCCTCTGTGTCCACCTTCCATGCCATGCTGTCCTCATTTCCCGCAGCACGGAGGTTACATGGGCGTAACTGACTCCTACATGAGAGTCCTCTCTCCAGCAAGGCTGTGTGTCTCTAGATTTCGTAAGTCATTCTGTCCAAAGTTAGAATAAAAAGCGCTCTTCCTGGGTTTTTCTTTCTTTTTAGTTGCCAGAGGGCACATAGGGTCGCCAGAGAGATCAGAGAGAAGGAGAAAGCACCCCCTCAATGGGATGGTCACGCTATAATCCTCTCTCATGCTCCAAACCATGGGGTTTTTGGGCATGTGCACACATGCTCCTGGGGCTGGGATTTCAACCACAGTTGGTTTGAACGACCCAGCTCCCTTAACTGCAAGGCTATAGGACCGTGGTGCCACGGTCCCCTAAAACATTTTAAAAATAATTATTTTAATAATTTATTAAAAGGCAAGGTATGCCATTATTGAACTGCCTTGTAAATATCAACCAGTACAACAGAAGTCTAATTTTGTTTTTAATGAGAAACATCTGAGTTGTACATACCACAAACAGCTTCAAGTTTCTGTACCAACCTCCCCGTGGCCAAACAGTTCAACAAAACCTGAAGCATCACTTTCAATGTGAAAAGTCTTAGAAAATTAAGTTACAAAAACATCCCTATCAAGTTTGTATTTTGGCATTTACTGTACATTAGTCAAAAGCTCAAGCTAAAATCTGATTTCTTAAAAAAAAATCAAAGTTTACATCATTCATACAGATCCAGCGTTGTTAAAAAATATGCACAAATAACCACATCCATGCAATATAATTTCTTTAAAAATGTAAAGCAATATAAAAGAGCCATCCTAGGTACTAAACAGAACATTTTGGTTTATAAACTGTAGCTCAAATTGCTGCTGATTGGCGGAAAATTGATTCTAAACATCTTAAACATGATTGTTTCAATCAGCTGAGGATGGGTGTAAGTTTCTGAACCATTACTAAGGCGAAATCTGCGTTTCTTTGATAGGGCTGATGTGACGCACACCATTGCTCATTGACCGCATTAACTATGTTTTACAGATCAATCGGAATTCACAAAGTGCTCTTTCCAAAGATCCCTAGACCAATCAGCTAGCTATGCCAAAAATGCATGGAGCAATTGCTGCACAGGTGCCATGCCCTGGGAAAGAACGTCATAGGAAAGCTGCCCTGGGCCCCCGAGAGCCCGCTCTGGACAGCCCAGGGGTAGGAGTGGCTGCAGTAGGGCCCTTGTCCTGGCTGATGCTGAGTCACTGGTTTGGGGCCATGAGCTGGGAACCATCAGTAAATGGACTGGTGGTGCAGTGCCACCGGCCAGCTGAGCCTTCTATGTTGGGGGTGGCCCATTGGTGTACCTCAGCATAGGGTAAAAGGACCGGGCAAAGTTGTTGGCCTGAGTGCAGCTGTAGTCCTCTTCGGAGGAAGGCAGCAGGCAGGCCAGGAGCAGCAGTAGCAGGAGAAGCAGCTGCAGGGGCAGCGCTGCCCTGATCACCCGGGACAGGAAGGAGCGCTGTGGCCGAGAGCTGCCGGGGCCAGGTGCCCTGCAACAGAAGAGGTAAGCGTGGGTGAGAAGGGTCCGTGGCCAAACCCACTTGGGTACCTGACCCCTTGCTGCTGTAGAGACATTAGGATCTGAGATTAAAATGGGGCCAGCAGCTGAGGGGCAGGTTTAGCAGAGAAGCCCAGGCCAAAGCAGGGTTTTTACGCGCACCTTGGCAGCGGCACCCTGGAAGACTAGTGCAGTGAGTGGAGCCGGAGCTCGCTGCTGGGGCTGTGGCACCTCTTACCTGCTGTTGGTCTCGTTCTCGCCTTTCGTTGTTCTTGCTGCTCGGAACTGCTGGATAAAGAATCCAGTTAGTAAGTGGAAGATAGTTTATCCATCAACGATAAAATGTTCTTTCTTAAATTATGTGCCTCCCCTAGGTTGTCCTTCTGCCAAACTTATGAGACTACGATAATATACTTGAGATGAGAACTCCAAAAGGTAGGGAATAATTGGGTTCGTTCAAATATTTTTCATGGTTCAGTTGGTTGATCTCTTTCAATGGAAAAGCCATATGTGCTTCTTGCATGTAATTTTAATTTCCCCAAAAGTGCATGCACCAACAAAAGAAAGCACTCCCCCAATAAGGTATGGTCATGTCACTATCTCTTCTCCATTTCTCCATCCTGTCCAGATTGGGGGCATGTGTGCACATATACCCAATATGTTTCTCAAGTTGCCAGGGTTCGGATTCAAACCACAGGTCAGCTGTCTGGGATCTGGTTCCCTAACCACCAGGTCAGGGGACAAGCCCAAGATCTTTAAAAAGTGTATTTTAAGGGACCAGAAGATGGCATAGTGGTTACTTCACTGGACTCCCATGTAGTCGACTGTAGTTCGAGTCCCTGACCCAGAGGCTTAAAACTCACACTGGGCACATGTGCATGAGTGCCCAGGATCCCACAAGGAGACGGGACTGCAGCGTGGCCATGCCCCTGGGAGGTGATTTCTCACTTTCTGTCTCTCTGGTGAGCACACCTGCCCTTTAGCAAAAAAAAAAGTGTAATTTGTTTTTAGGCTTTGGAATGAATATGCCTCTCTGTTGATCACAGAGCAGATCTGTGCTGTCATGACATGTAATGTCTAATGAGACCTAGAGTCCCAAGTTCTTGTCATCTCAGGAACTGAAATAACCAGCGAGGCTGTTGCAGAAGAAAGGGCTCTTACCTTGGTTTGGGTGGCTGGCACAGATGTTGATGGAGGCTGGTCCCCAGAGACAACCTCATCGAAGCCCAGCAGAGACGGATGTACATTCTGAAATCCACACCCCAACAGTTCAGTTCACGAGGAAAGAAGGTTCTGAATAGTCTCAAGAGCACAGGAACGTGCTCCAGGCAGGTTTTTCCCAATACAGCTCACCCCCTTCCCCAGCTTAGATCCTTCATGAAGATGAGGCTCTTCTGCTCTTCTCCCCTCCTCAACCCTAACTTTTTTCAGACAAGCGGGAATATAACCACATGCGTTAAAAATCCATAGCATACAAGGGAGGCTGAGCTTAGCCGTAAGAGGGAGTTAACCACAGCTGACAGTTCACCACAGGTCACCGATGCAATCATGTGGCCAACAAGCCTAGTCTTTGGTGTTTAGGAGAATATGAATAGACTCTAGAATGGAAGCCATGATCTGCGTAGATATTTTAAAAATGGAGACAAATGAGAGAGTGTTCAGAAGTGATCAGGAGAATGAAGAGGACTAGAAACGTGTCACACGAGAAAGTGAAGGCTGGAGTCTGACACAAAAGCAAGGCAGAAACGATCATGGGATTAGACTTGTTTCTCGGAGCCCCAGCCAGCCACACCAGTAGGTAGGCAGTGTTGCAGTCTCCCTCCCTCCCTCCCTCTCGTAGAAAGGCTATAGCATGGCTTGCTTGTTTCCATCTAATGACGTCTTTACATTCGAAACCCACAGGTAGACTCACCTGACTTCCCTGGAAAGACATTAAATCTTGGGACACTTGCTCAAGTAACTGTTTGTGTTTCTTCTCAATAACATGGACCTTTTCTTCAGCCTCAATGTAGTCTTCTCCATGCTCCTTAGTAAGAAGATGGTTTGAAATCTCCTGTAAGGAGTTTACTTGAGGCTGACGTTCTAGTAGTTCCTTTTTCAGTTGCTGAAAATCAAAAAGTTACTTGTCAAGAGAGAAACTAATGTGGCTACATAAGGCTTTCTCAGTGCCAGGAAAGTTCTGGAATAAACAACAGGTGGTGCTCAACTCCAGAACCCTCTGCTTCTCAGATCTGCCCATGTCTAGTGTTTAGTAGCAAGTGGGTTACACCCTGCCCCTGTTTTGAAATTTTCATTCTCAACATCACTGTGAGGCTGGAAAAATGAGAAAAGTCACGGGTATGCTGGGGAGGACTGGGCCTTCGTCTACAACAAGAAGCCAACGGAAACTCTCTAAGTCAATGAATGGAGACAGCAGTTTAAGCCAACTCTTCAGAAATGAGGTAGGTACCAGGGGATCAGCTTAAATTATTAAGGGTGGTTATCTTGCTGTCCCGTATGGCTGCCACTAGGTGCATGTGACTGTTTAAAATGAAAAATTCAGTCTCTCTAGCTACATTTCATAGCCATGTATGGTTAGTGGCTATGATATCCATCACTTCCATTATCACAGGAAGTTCTGTTGACAGTGTATATTTAGAAAAAAAAATGGCTAACACTGATTAAATGTAAAATATTTAAAATTAAACCACATACAAATTTATGAATAAAAATGTCACCTTGAATATATGTGAGAATATACAGATACCAGTCTGTTACTGACAAAAATGTATGAAAATGCAACTCTCCTCCAAGAAGTGGAACTTTCACCGCGGATATGGAGCACCCCTATAGCTTGGCACTGCTATGGAGCAAATGAGGAGCATTCTCCAGGGAAGCAGGTTCTTCCCCGTGCAGCTCGCCCCTTTGCCCAGCTTAGATCTTTCATGAAGACGAGGCTCTTCTCCTATCCCCTTTTCAACCCTAACTTTTTTCAGACAAATTCTATTTGAATGGCCTTAGGTTTCTCAGGATATTATTGCAAAGAGCGCTGTCTCCAATTCCTGAGGCTCTCAAAGACTTCTCATCCTGGAGGTGGCTCTTCATTGCATGCCACTCTACAGGGGCTGCTTGGTGGACACCACAGAACCTGAGGGCTGACTCCCGGGGCACTGGCCAGCTGTGCACAGGGACACATGTGGGCTGCTGACAAGGCCAGTGAGTGCAGAGCCCTCTGGGGAGACTTACCATTAGTTCTTCCTGCCACTCCAGGAGAACCTGGGGATCTGCCTTGGGGTTGGCGACATGAGCCTTCTGCCTCCGGTTCTCGACACTTGCCAACCAGAGGAGCAGATTTTGACTCAACTGGTGGAAGTCCTTCAGAAACAACACATGTCAGAACATTCATGGCCAGTACCAGGACTATGAAGGAGGGCGTACGGGAAGGCATTGCCATCTCTTGTCTGTCAGACATTTGCTTTTTCATCTGATCCCGTGATTAAAGGGTCAGATTTAAACTACATGCCTGAGCCCCAAAGCAAGGAAAAGCGGAGGACAGCGAGTGTACTTGATACAGTCCCAGGAGGTCGCAAGGGAAAAGTGCTAACAGAGGTGTGACCTGAGGACATCCCAGCTGGTTTTACCTACGAAGAGCATGCAATACACAGGTGTGCTGGACTCGGCTGAGGGAGACAACCCACAGGCAGCCGTGGTGGGCTCAGGTGCAGAGCGTTCCCTTCCATGTCAGGCACTGGGCTGAGCATGCCCACCCACTTCATGTAGTCCTAAACTGAACCTGTGAGGTAGGCGCTAGAATTGGGCCCGTTTTCAGGTTGACAACCGAGGTCTAGGGGGTTCGAAGAGTTGCCCAAAGTCACACTTTTACTAAATAACTGCTCCTCTGCTCTAGGGCCAGGTCTCTTAATTATTCTGGCAAAAGAATCAAGAGGAGGCAGCATGAGGTGGCATTGGTGACCTTTTGAAACCCGCTGAACCCAACAGGCATTAGCATGGGCCTGGGCAACAGAGCAGGAGGCCCAGGGCAAGCAGTGGCTCTCCGAGACAGCAGGTGGGCCTCCCTCAGCAAACAAACTGCAAAGCACACATGTTTCTCTGCACAAGCCATGGTGACTGCGCCAAAGCAGCTTGAGGGGGATAAAAATATCTGCTCCCACCACGTGGGCCTGGCTGCTGCGAGACTGGGCGTTGGCTCTGGGAGGTTTGGTGCAGAGGAAGCATACCTGGCACTGCATAAGCGACTGCCGCAAGCCCTCTCTCCAGCTGTCCACCGCGGCCCAGGCCGCCTCCCAGTGCAGGGTCAGCTGGCACAGTCTGCCGTGGAGCTCGGAGGGTTCGGCGCTCTCAGTCTGCAGAAGTTCCTTGCTGCGCACGTTGACAGAGACCACTAAGGCCTTGTAGCTGTCAAAGGCTTTTAATAGCTCCTACCACGGAGGGAAAAGATCAGGTTAGGCTCCCTGAAAGCAGCGAGGCGGGCCTCATTTTGGGCCTCAGTAGGAACCAATCTTCTACCTACTTTTTCAAGCTGCGGCCACAGAACCCAGAGCGACCTCGCCTGTGACTGGCGGGGAAGCATCAGGTGAGGAAACTGCCTAATAAGGTCAGAGAACTTAGCCGCTGGGCCTGAGAACAGAGGCTGCCACCTCCTGGTGAGCTGACCTCCATGGCCCTGCTCCGTGATTGGCTTAACACTTCTGGACCAGATAAGTCTTTCAGCTAAAGTACACACAGTTATTCTGCATCTGCTCTAGACATCCCAGAAATAATATTGTTAAGGTGGTCAACCTGATAACAAATATGTAAAGTATCTGTACCCCAAGGCCCACTGGCCCAGGGTCATTTTTAGAGCACCCTCAAAATGCAGGGCTAAAGCTGCCCTTAACTTGGTTTCTGTGGGTGAATTCCAGGGGGGAAAGGGCTAATTGTGTGCGTGACAAATCCTCATGGTATAATAGGATAACCAGATGAGGCCAGAGGATCCATTAGTAAGCCGGTCCTCCCCAGTAAAGATGGCACCACTACAAATCGTGCCTGGAGCTTGTGTACAGCTTGGAAGGGTGTTTTAAACTGCCTGCTCATAACCACCACCACCTTCATAAGAGTCTACTGGTGCCTGGGCAGTCAGATATTCTAAAGGTCTGAGGATCAGTCACCTCTCCAGTGTGGCTCTGGGCTTTGGGGTCATTTGTAGATACTCCTCCATATAAAAACAAAAATGTGCATTTGAGTCCTTGCTGGTTACAGAAATGAAGAGACTGACCTCTACCACACGCCGCCTGGGAGCTGCCCCTACACCACCGAGAGACTACCCACTCATCTGCTGGCAGTGCACGGGCACGCACACGCCACTCTTCTTCCCCGCCACAGCTCCGACTCACCTGCAGTCTCTTCACCCTGACGGCCATTTCCCGGACATCAGAGGGAGCCTCTGCCACCTTTAACGTCTCCAGCTCTGCTTCAGTTTTTGTCAGCCAAGCAGAGATGGTGTTGATATCAGAATTCAGCTGCTGCAAGTTTTGTTTTATCCTGAGTTTCTTGTGAAGCTCCCATCTGTCAAAAGAACCTAGAATAAAAGGCCACCAATTACAAAAAGTTATAATGCAAACAGATTTCTCTGCCTCCAGCTCAGTAGGGGTCACAGAGACTCAAAGTTCCTGGAGGGATGCCCTTGTGGGATGATGCAGGGGTGTGAGTCCTCTCGTCTCCTAGAATATGACATGTCTCCCCTGCTCTCATCTGAGGCCTGTGCCCCTGCACTCCCATGAAGGCTGGAATGAGGAAGAAAGTCTGCGTGTTTCCAGTGTGTGCTGTGGGCTCAAGCTCAGCCTTTCAGCTCATGCTGTTGTGAGGGCTTTTACTCCTCTAGCTGGGAACGATCAGGTCTGTATATCTGCTTTACCTGAGACTCAGCTGAAGAATCACTTTTAGAGTTACTGAGCTGGTCTCATGAGACACCTGTGACAACGAGCACCATCCCTGGGTCTGACCTTTACAGACAAGTGAAGTCATGAGAAACATGTAGTTCAGCATGTGAGACCCATTTGTCTGTCTGAACCGCAGTTCCCAAATGAAAGCGAATAGCCTAGGTGTTGGTTCATAAATATGTCAGCTGATGTGAAAACAGCCCTGGCTGTTGCAGAGTAAGTGCAGCAGTTCTGGTGAATTTCACAGCTGGTCGGTTCCTACTCAAAATTCTGTTGGGCAAGAACTTCAGTAAATGCCCAACTGACCCAACATATCTACCCCCCACTCTTGACGACTTCCCAGTCGGCAGTACCTGGCTGCTGTCCCTTTATTTGGGCCAGTCTCTCTTCTTCCTGTTGTGGGCTGCCATGCAAGGCTCTTGGGCTGTCTTGGCCACCATCAGCGCTTGATAACAGCTTTACCTAGAATGAGCCCGTTTTTAAGTTACCATCTGTAAATTGTGAAGGTTATCTGAAGAACTGAATTCATATTAAAGACAAGAAATAAGGATAGGGGGCTCCTTTCTTCTGAAGGGTAACTTGCTACTAATGCAGAAGTGCTTTCGTATATGAGTAGCATTTATAAACAAGCAGAATTGCTGGCAGAAGTAAAACCTCAGTGGGACAGCCCATGGCATGGTGGTGAAGGTGGCTAGATCCCACATGGCTGACTGCACGATTCGAGTCCTGGACTTGGTAGCTGGAAAAACACACTGTGTGTGTGTGCATGTATGTCTAAAGTCCTTAAGGGAGAGAGGAATGGAAGAGAAGAGATTGTGGCATGACCGTAACCCATGGGGTGTTTTCTTAGTTTCCCTCTTTGTCTCTCTAGAAAACAATTTTTGGGCTTATCAGACAGATCACTACGGTGACACCAGCACTTTGGCATTTCAGTGTTTTATGCCATTTTAGTGATCATCTTCCCCTCTGCCCCCATCACTCTGTAGAGTTGGCTGGCATTATCAGTGGGAATCAGAAACACACAGAAGGCAAATCCACCTCCCAGGGTTGTTCATTCCTAAGCATTTACATCTCACTACACACACGGACTTTTCTGTTATCACAACGCTCACTGGGCTGTAATCTCAGGCCTTTCCCCAAATAAATGTATCCATTTTATAAAAGTCATGCTTTCTGGGACCAGCAGTTAGCATAATGGCTGTTGCTGGATCCCCATGTAGTTGACTGCAGTTCGAGTCCTGGACTCGGTGGCTTAAATTCATGCCAGGAGTGTGTGCGTGCGTGCCCAAGATCCTGAGAGGAGAAGGGATTGCGGTGTGGCCATCGCCCCCGGGGGGTGATTTCTCGCTTTCTCTCCATCTCTGTCTGTTTTTCTGGCAAGCACATGCGCCCTATAGCAAAAACCTTCTCAAAAAAAAGAAGTCATGCTTTCTTTGGATTGTGTCCATATGACCTACTTTCAAAAAATTATATGTATATGTTTTTAAAATTTGCTGTAGGGTGTGTGTGCTCACTGTGGGGATATGGAGAGAAGGAGAGGAAAAGTGAGAAAGCACCTGCAGGGGGGATGGCCATACTGCAGTCCCTTCCCCTCTATTCTCCTCTTGGGATTTTGGGCACTCACGTACACATATTCAGTGTTTTTTAAACCACCAGGTCTGGGACACAAACTGTGTAGTCAGCCACGGGGATCCAGCCACCTTAAACACCTTGCCATCTGCTGGTCCCATATGGCCTATCTGTGAAAAATGAAAAAAAATAAAAATGCACACCTGGTTTCAGACACTTTAAAAGAAGTTGAGGTTCTGAAAGTGGCCAGGTCAGGAACACAGCATAATCACTGGGAGAAGCCAAACTATACTGACCCACTATATAAAGCAAAGGTCAAATGTTGGGGTCTCTTTCCATGTTTTACTCCATATAACTGAGGGACAGATTAAGCATGACAATTGCTGGAGCCAGCAGGAGGCATGGTGGTTAAGGTGTTGGACTCCCACATGGCTGACTACTGTTCAAGTCCCGGGCCTGGCAACCTGAAGATCACGCCAGGCACATGCATGTGTGTGCCCAAAATCCCAGGAGGAGAATGAGGAAGGAACTGCAGCATGGCCATCTCCCTTGAGAGGTGATTTCTTACTTTCCCTCTTATGGTCTCTCCCTGGTGAGTGCAAGCACCCTATGGCAAGAATAAATAAATAAATAAGACACTGGGCCTGGACGCCCAGATGACTGGGATTTGACCATGTAAAGACAGAACCAACTTTTCCCAGTATGCAGCAATATTCACTCCTAGACAGGGGGAATGCTGACACGTTATTGCTGATTTCTCTAAAAGGTGGCACTGAAAAGGCAAGGGATGTTTTTATTTCAACTCTCTTTTTTCTTTTGGAGAGGTTTTCGCTATAGGGTGCGTGCGCTCGCCAGACAGACAGAGAGAGACATAGAGACAGAAAGCGAGAAATCACCCCCCGGGGGGATGGTCACACCGCAATCCCTTCTCCTCCATTCTCCTCTCGGGATCTTGGGCACGCACGCACACGCGCCCGGCGTGTTTTAAGCCACCGGGTCCAGGACGTGAACCACAGTGGGAGTCCAGCAACATAGCCATTACGCTAACTGCTGGTTCCCATCAACTCCCTTTTTTCTATTTCTCAGTACTGAGAATGATCTGAGACAAAAATTAAACCCTGGGCTGTCCCCCAACATCTGCCTTGCCAAGAACCCACGTCGCCTAAGGATGGAGAATAGGAAGAACAGTCCCGGTTTTAAACAACAAACCACTACAGTAGTGATGATAATGGTCCTCACTTCTGAGGGCGTTTACCTTCATATACATTAATCCTAACAGCAATTACGTACGGCAGGCTTATCTTCAGGTGACAAAGGTTCTGAGGCAAGGCAAAGTACTTAAGGCCCCACAGCCATTTACTGGTAGGGTTGGAAATCAAATCTGTGTCCACCAAAGCACAGTGCCAAATAATTTTTGGATAAGATGTGTGATCAAAACATAAACCTAACAAAAGTTTGGGAGCTCAGGAGTAGTTCCAGAAACCAACACTTGGCTTCTCCACTATCAGCATAAGCTGACTTTGCAATAACAATTGTCACATCACGTCAACACGGACAAAGACGGTTTTTGGCCAGAAACTCGTCCTACTCTCATCAGTTTTGCCAGGTTTCCAATGAAGTAGGGATAGCTCAGCAGAGACATTATCACCGTGAGAAAAACATTTCAAGATGTGCCTGGGGGTGAGCACATGCAGGAGACACCAAAATCTCTCTCTGGAAATTCTTGATCGTTTTTCATACACATGGTTGTACTCCAGGGGAGAGGTTGAGACTTACATAGGCCGGTTTATAAGGGGTGCTGGAATCCGAGGGGATAGGAAGTGCATGCCTATCGCCTTCCACTTGTTTGAAGTGATGCTTGGGACAGGAAGGGCTGTCAGGAACATGCCACGAGTGGCCATCAGAAATGGATTTACCTGAAACAGAGAATAGCAAGTGACAGTCCATTCCCTCCAACTGAAAGATTTCAAATTTAGTGACAGAGAACAGGTCATGGGGAAGATGGCATCAGGTTACAGTGTAAATATGAGATCCGCAGCTTTCCTTGCAAAGCATGCACATTTGCAAAATGTCAGTGTGTCCCAGAAGGGAATGAAATGAGTCATGCACGAGCAACACTGTGTCTTCACTAGATGGGTTCACAATGGAGCACGACAAACACGATATGCTGCAAGATGAGCGGCATCTGGGAGCTGGATTTGGTGGTAAGGACATGGGGCTGCGAGGCCAGATCTGGGGGCCAAGAGGACAAAAGGTCTCTAGGGGTGAGGGGAAGCGTGACCATCGAGATGGACTTGGGAAGCAATGGGCTGCTCCTTGGATCTCTTCCACCACTGTGGAGGGCAATGGGGCAGAGCACAAAGATTAGAGCTACAAGTCGAGGCAGGGAAGACTTCTGTGGCAAATGTAACAGGCCCTCCACCCTCACCTATGCACTCACCCACCCACCTTCCTCCCAGGAAATCACCATAAGCAAGGAAACAGTTCCAAACCAAGCCACCATGAAGAAAGCTTGGCCCGTGCCAAAGGACTTCAGTTAGATGGAGAGAAAACAACCATGGAAATAGGCACCATGAGCAACTCCCTTCTGCACAGGCCCGAGGGGGAGAAAGGGATGGCGTGGAGACCGCTCTGGTTTGGGACGGGATTGTAAGGAGCACGCGGGTATGTGTGAGTGCAGCAGTGTAAATACACCATGACACGAGGACCAGGCGCATGGTGTCCACAGAAGGCAGAGGTCAGACATGACATGGGAGCGAGGCTGAGGATGCGGTGTGCGCTGCAGGATGCTGCCATGTGGAGATGCATGCACGGGCAGGGGCCTACCAGAAGACGCTCTCAAAGTTTGTGTGGTCATTTTAAGATATGCCTCAGGATTTTCAGGGATTTCTACATCTGAAAAAGAATAATGTCATTTTCCTCACTGGAGATGCCTGTAGATCAATGCCCAAGTAGTAAGTAAACACAGTGGAAACATTGTCATGGAAGGAGAAATCCAACTACCCCTGAGCTTTCCTCAGTGTTGCTACCAGCCTACGAAAAATGACTGCACACTGCTATATTTAAAAACGAGGAACTGAAGGGTACTTTTTGAGGCTATGTAGGATGAAGAAAGAACTCCATATGAAGTTAGCCAGCTGGAGACACAAAACGGGATTTTGAAAACTGGAAGGATTATTTTTCAGCCAACTCTTGACTGATGGAAGCAGTGGTGGAGCGAGGGTAGCATCTGAGCTGATACTCAACCTACTGATACTCTGAAAAACTCAACTGAAAAGTTCACTGATGAGCCAGTATTCCAAAAGCCAAAGCCACCAGTGAAGAACCATAATGCCTGGTATGAACTTTGTTTCCTTTTTCCTTTCATTCCACCTGTAATAGGGGTAAGCCAACTATCAGGTAGGTCAAGACGTGGGCAGGACAGAACACAGGGAGCCACAGAAGCCTGTTCAGCCAGAAACTGGCCTCTTATCATCGAGCGCTGGCCGTGTTGCTAAGGTGCTCGCAACACGGCCAAGTAGGTCAATTTCAAGGGCTCTGGGAACTGAGGCTGTTACCTGACAGGGCACTGTAGTATGGGCCCTCCTCATCTTCTTCGTGAGAGGAGGAGCCCCCCACGTCACCTGTGTGATCCCACTCCAGAGGGATGGAGTCCACACTGACAGGGGTCTCACAGCCAGACCGCTCCTGCCCTGTGGCCACCAGCTGACAAAGTGATGGAGGAGAGGAGGGCTCCTCGCTTGCTCCTCTTTTACGCCAGGAGTCGGTCTGGATCTCTCTGGCATCTTCCATATCTGTTTCGTTCTCAGAGGCCTCCTTTTCATCTTCCAGGCCCTAAATGGGAATGTTTAATTTTTAGAATCAACCAAATCACAGTCTGTTGTAGTGAGAAAAACATTAAAAGACTGTCTGTCCAGCAGGTTCTAAAAATGGCTACCATTAATGTTGCCAAGGCAGGTTTAAAAAGAATCAGGAACAATATGGAGATTCTTCAAATATCTACAAATAGAACTACCATATGGTTCAGCAATCCCACTCCTGGGTATCTACCCAAAGGACAGGAGAATGTTAGTTGGAAAAATGTGTGTACATCCATGTTTATTGCAGCATTATTCACAATTGCTAAGACATGGAAACAACCCAAATGTCCACAAACAAGAATGGATTGAAAAAGTGTGGTACATATACTCTGTGGAATACTACTCAGTCATAAAAACCAAGATCCTTGTGTTTGACAGAAAGTGGAAGAATATGGAAGATTTACTGCTGAGTGAAGTAACCCAGGCTATGAAGGAGAGACACTGTATGTCTCCACTTAATATAAACTGAATGTCCACACTCTATGGCTGAATTGGAAGATTAGAGGATACAGACACATAGAAAATGGTTATAGACACTGGATACAGTGTGGGAAGAGGGTGGGAGAAGAGAGAGTATGAGGAAAGACATTAAGGAGGAAAATAGGCAAGACATTTCTGGGACACAGAAATGGATTATTAGTTGATGATAACGTGTATAGTATCCCCAACTGACTGGTGTGAAATGTATTCATGTTAGAAAATTAACTTTACAAGCTAAGTGATATATAGTGACCGAATGTATAAAACAAATGAAAATAAAACATACTATTAAAAAAAAAAAAAGAATCTCATGCCCAGTTTGTGGTTATTCCAGTTTAGAAAATCTGAGTGGGGCCTAGAATCTGTATTTTCCAAAAAACAGGATGAAGTTTGATGACTTTCGCTATTGTAGATGATAAGAAAATGAAGGCCAAAGCTTCATTGATGATTAATGGCAAGGAATCAGGAAAATTTTAAAAAAGGACATTAGAGTGTCCTGAAAAAGATTTACAACTTTAAGGCTCTGGAAAAGATTCCTAACTTCAAGGTCCACATGCTCCAGGCTCTTTCTTATCCTCTAGTCCTACTGTCCAGTGTCTATACCCTGCTCATATTGTAATGCCTGTACCAGCCTAAGAAAAGTGACTGCACACTGTCCTATTTAAAAACAAGGAATTGGGGCCAGTGAGTGGTGTGGTGACTGAGGTGCTCAACTCTCATGTGGTCAACCCCAGTTCGAATCCCGGACCCAGTGGCTTGGAACTCATGCTGGGCACGTGCGTGTGTGTGCACCCAGAATCCTGAGAGGAGATTGCAGCATATCTATGGTTATCCCCGCTTGGGGGTGACTTCTTGCTTTCTGTCTCTCCAGTGAGTATGCATGCCCTATAACCAAAAAAAACTCTTAAGAAAAATAAGGGATAGAGCAATTTTTGAGGCCAAGAAAAAAAAAATTCCATTGGAGGTTGGCCAGCTGGAGACAAAAAAGAAACAGTGGCGAGAACCAGCAGTTAGTGTAATGGCTATGTCGCTGGATTCCCACGTAGTCGACCGCGGTTCGTGTCCCGGACCCGGTGGCTTAGAATTCACGCCGGGCACGTGTGCGTGCATGCCCAAGATCCTGAGAGGAGAATGGAGGAGAAGGGATTGCGGCGTGACCATCCCCCCTGGGGGGTGATTTCTCGCTTTCTGTCCCTATGTCTCTCTGTCTGGCGAGCGCATGCGCCCTGTAGTAGCTAGCGAATGCGCCCGTTAGAGGAAAAAAAAAAAAAAAAAAAGAGAAAAGAAAAAAAAAGAAACAGCGGCTAGCTGTGTTGGTGAGTGGTCATCATTATAGCTTCTGGCCATGAACCTTGAGTGATGGCCTTAACTCCACCCATTCTTCCCCAAAGATCCTTCCCTTTGTCAAGGGAAACACCAGACATTTTAAAACAAACAACATTTTAAAAGCTGGTGCGTTAGAGGGCCAGCAGGTGGCATGGTGAAGGAGCTAGACACTCCCACACGGCTGACCACAGTTCGAGTCCTAGACCTGGAGGCTTGCTTTCTCACTTTCCCTCTCTCGCTCTCTCTCTGGTCAAATTAAAATAAATGAATGAATAAATACAATTAAATAAACAATTCTTTAAAAAAAAAAAAAAAGGCTGGTGCATTGGACCATTTGAAGGTGAGAACAAGCATTGGGAAGGCACAAATACCAAGAGCTTCCAGACAGTTAGATAGAGGAAAAGGCACACATAGTCCCAAGTTACAAATAGAATCAACCAGAACAGTTATCACAGCTTTGAGGGGTCCTGATGCATGCCAGGAAAGTCCTGTACTGGGGAATATGTTAAAAAGAGGTAACAGAGGAACACAAACTTCTAGAAGTGCCGGGGAACCCTCTGGAGGTGTGCTCCTTACCGGAGCATGGGAGGTGAGCCGCCGGTGGAACCGGGAGACCCTGCCGAACACTTCCTGGCAGTACCGGTGGAGCTCCTCCAGCTCGTCTTCAATCAGCACAGCATCCAGGGGCTCGCTCTTCTGAATTAGCTGCTCCCCAAACACGATGAGCTGATCGATCTTGTTGGTATTTAACGTAATTTCTTGTTGGAAGCCCTATTTAGAAGATAAGAAGGAAAGGACTTCAGTAAACTAACATTTCCACGGTATCCAGACGACGTTAGGTTTCTTGTAACAGGGCCACAGAGACAAAGCAACCGGACGTCCTCATTGCCTGCTCTTGGCCGAGTACTCTGGCTTCATCCGTTCTTGACAATAACTTAAAGTGACTGTACATATTTTTTTTCCTCTCTCCTTCTGGGCACTGACTTTTCCAATTAAAATGATTCTAAAGGTTTGATGTGGGTGGCCATTTACTGTTATTGGGTTGAGGAAGAGAACTGTCTTATTGGCACTTGGTGGAAATGGAAAACTTCCCATAATAAGCCACTAATGGGCATTTGCTTCTGCTGACACTAATAATGTTCACTGGAGCCATTACATTAGGGAAAGCAAATGTCCACCAACCTCTTCTAAAAACTAGCCAATGAGTGTGCACAGTGAGGCTGTCATACAGTCGCTAACAGTGGGACGACAGCAATTGGCGGCCCCACTGAGGACACAGATTTGCTGTTATACCCACCATGTTGTACTCAGACTCAGATGCCAGGGAAACATCACCTTCCGAAGTTCTGTCTGGAACCCTAAGTGAGTTCTCCCCTTGAATGATTATAAAGGACAAAGGAAAAGAGGGCTGTGTTTCAGTGATCCCACAACTATTTAAAAACAAAGTGCCCTTGAGCATGATAATCCAGAGGTACATTGGTGGGATGCAGCCCGATTTTAAGAATTTGCTCTCAGGTGGCATGATGGTTAAGGCACTGGACTCCCACATGGCTAACCATGGTCTGAGTCACAGACCTGGTGGCCTGAAAATCATGTTAAGCATGTGTCCATGCATGCCCAAAATCCCAAGAGAAGGAAGAAGGGACTGTGGCATGGCCATCCCCACTGAGGGAAGATTTTTCACTTTCCCTCTCACTGCAACAACAACAAAAATTTGCTGTCAAAGTATCAGGTCAAATTGGTACTTGGTCAGCTCTCCTCTGCAAAGGTGCATCCATTTACGAGGAGTTAGGGAAGCCGCCCTTACGTTCAACTGGCGCATCTTGTCATCAGCGTCACTCTCTGAGAAGTGCTCCACATTGGTCAGCTGCAGGTCCATCTCTGTGAGCCAGACCAGAATGCTCTCCCTGGTCCCTTCAAATTCTTCCCTCTGGTTGGTAAAATGCTACAAAAGAAGAAGGAAAACGTTTGTCCTGGCCATGGAATAAGAGTTCACGTAGACAGCTAGATCACCTTTGGCCATAGGAAAGGGTGTTCCATGTACTCAGAGAGGAACTGGCCTGTGGCTTACCCAGGAAGCCCTAGCAGCAGTGCACTTGGGAACCTGGGCCCCCTGCAAGTCCCCCACCACGCGTGTGCGCGCGCACACACACACACACACACACACACACACACACACACACCATCACCAATCTCCTCTGAGTCTCAGTTTCTCCACCAGCAAATGAGCGGTGGGGGTGTGGGAATATAGACCATGACCCTGAGGCCTTTTCAAGTATCTGCAGTTCCATAGCGACTTCTCTCTGTCCTTTGAGGAGCTCCCCCCTGACCCCCCGGGGGGCATTTGTCACTTTCAATTAAGGATGCCTCTCAGGTTACCACCGCATTGATGAGCAGTTGATCCTCAGATAAATGTGGCACCCAGGGTCAAAAGAAGGTTTGGACTAGTAACAGTCAAATGAGCAGAAGATAAAGAAATTCAAGCAAGGGTTTTATATAGATTACTAGAAAAACTAGGTGTCTTCCTGCGAGGGCAGGGGGAGATAGGGAGGGAGGGAGGAAGTGGGAGAGAAGGAGAGAATGTCCCAGGGTTCTCATCTTCCTAGAATGGCTTTGAAAGCTTTCTACCCAGAAACAGAAGCAGGAATTAAAATTATGTCTTGTAGAGGCCAGGGTTCGAATCCTGGGTCAGCCTGAAACAGGCCAGGCAAGGTAGTGTGTGCCTGTAATCCTAGCTAACCAGGAGGCTGGGGCAGGGAATCAGACATGAAAAGACCCTGCCTGGAATTCCTCTCCCTCCTTTCCCATCCTTCTCCCTTCTTCCTGTGCTCTTGCTTTCTCCTAAAGAAGCAAAAAAAAAAAAAAAAAGACCAAAAACAAAAACACATACTATAGTCCCTACCTACCTTGGTCCTGTCAGTTTATATCTGGACTCACAAAAGGTTGCACAGCACATCTCCTGAATTACAGAAAGCTAAGGTAAACATTTAGGTTCAAAAACCAAACCCGACCTCTGAGGTCAGCCGGCGTGCTCTAACTTGGAGAGCAGCTGTTTCCCCCGGGGCTGTGTCCCCTTGGGGGCTCACGTGTGAATGTGCCTTGTCCATAATTCCCAGAGCGAGAACCACAGGGCAGCTCAACACAGATTGGCAAAGCAGGCCTCTTCCTTTACCAGATGCAGAGAAGCCGCACCCAGACGCTGGTGGTCTATGCCGCCATGTGCCCCGCCAGGGGTGACAGCAGGAAAGAGACGTGCTTTGGTAACAGATATCACATAAGCGGGCTCGGCCTAAGAATCCCACATGCAAATCCCTCTTTAGAACAAGGACGGTTGGCAGCTTCGGGCCGCTTCGTGCTGGAAGGCTGTCTGGGAACTCGGGCCTTAACTGACATCTACCAGTCGCTGTGTGTTACAAGCGCGTCTGCCCCCCAAAGATCTACGAGAACTCCAGCGACGGAGGGAAGGTTACTCTGAGTCTCCGCAGGACGGCCGTGACCCGGCTCTGGAGGGGGTGC